TTTTTTTTTTTTTTTTTTTTTTTTTTTTTTTTTTTTTTTTTTTTCCTTTCTCTTTTGATATCAAACTATATGGATTTTGTGGCGGTTATTCTCAAATAGTGGCTCAGCTTTGAAGAAGTAAGCTTTTCATTAGTTTAACTATTATTTTCTTAACGTTATTAAGCAAATTTTTGTCCATGTTAATTATTGAGCAAAATATCGTGATCAGTTAGTGATAACCGAGTTCAATAATTGCTTTATTCAATTTTCCCTCGTTTTTTTTTTTTCTTTTTTCTATTTTTGTTTCGTTTGATTTTGTTCTGTTTTGTTTGGCGCTTTAGTTGTTTTGCTATCTACTAAAGTCACAGATCCGCCATCATTGTTTTCTTTTGCCTCTGGACGCCCCATAATGCCTTGCGATCCAAGATGGCCGCTATATCGTTTAAGGATTCAGTTTTTGGGCCTTATACATCTCCTCAGCTAGTTCTGTGTCGCTATTCTTAATCGTACAGATATTTTCGCTTTCTTCATCGACTTATATGCAAAGAACAAGAATGTTGAACTTGTTTCTCTTCCATCCTGCACTCGTAGGAGGTCCATACTTTCATCTGACTGCCCGTCGTCTGATTCTTAATCCTTTTCCTTATGCAACAACAACACCTACTCTTACATTCAGAGCAGTTCAACATGGATTTGAAAGCCTGTCTAAAGCCCTTAGTAAACAGTGTATAGATAATTGGGTTGGCTGTGGTGCTTGAATAATGCATCCATTTGCTTGCAGCGATGTAAGTCGTAGCGCTTGCGGACGAGACACAAGAGGTACTACACACAGCAAACAGAATTAAAATCACGAAAAATGGCGACCAGCAGACGACAAAAGTACCTACAACGATTGCTAACGTCTTGGAGACTTTGAGCTCTCTTTGCATCAAGGTTCGTCGCTCTTTTTCAGCTCCGTAAACGAGGGATCCATGGTGGGAAATACTTCTTATTTGGGTTAAAGCGACAGCGAAAATGCGACCGTAGTAGAAGAGTATGATCAACAAGGGAGCAAAGAAAGCGGCTAGGGAAATAAACACTGCGTAAACGCGGCCAGCTATGGGTTGGATGTTTCGGTCGATTGAAATCATTGAAATTCCCGCGCAAACTGCCGCGTACGTCCAACCAACAGCGATGGAGATAAGCGCTCTTTTCGGCGTCATTTTAGCGTAGTACCTCAAAGGGGAAACGATAGCCATGTGTCTGTCCTTAGCGATGACGCACAAGTTCATTATAGATGCTGTACTACACAGAATATCTAGATATTGCCATGAATAGTACATTATCATGTAATCTAGTCTATCCCGCGGGACGCGAACGAGATCGGCCATTCGTATCATCAACCAGAAAGGCATTGAAAACGTTGCAAGCATTAGATCAGCTACTGCCAAGGACACTAGAAAATAGTTCGTCACCATTCTTAAGTAACGGAACTTAAAGAAAGAGGCAATAACAAGGATGTTGCCAAACATTCCGAGTGCCATGACTGATATGAGCATGACGATGGATAGGGCTTCAGATTTTATGGTCACTGACTTGTGGTTTGGGTTGGAAAAATTAGATGTGAGGTTATCCATAGCGGCGTAATTCGTGAGCAATTCGTGGAGCTAGGAATTGGCCTGCTGTACTCAATGTCTTTGCTCGCAAAATTCCAACTTTTATACTGAGGAAAAAGTCAACCTTAATTGATCTTGTAACGCGACTGGCTGTAACTACGMTCTGGGTGCTCATTTAGTGAAGTCAAATCCTTTGGAGATTTTGAAATGAAGAACGTCTCGAGTACAAAAACACCAGGTTTCGAAAACAAGACTTTAACTACGATCTAGGTGCTCATTCAGCGAAGTCAAATCCTATGGAGATTTTGAAAAGAAGAACTTTCTTGAATACAGAAACACCACTTATCGGAGACAAGACTTTAACTACGATCTAGGCGCTCATTCAGTGAAGTCAAATCCTATGGAGATTTTGAAATGAAGAACTTTCTCGAATACAGAAACACCACTTATCGGAAACTAGACCATAGGCAAGAAATACGAGGACCAAGTTTGCAGTTGTGACAGCCAAGAACCAGCCAGTTAGCCAAGAGTACGTACGTACGCTAATGAATTACAGAAATGAAACGTTAGCACAACCTCCTCAAAACTGCCAGAAATGACAGAACAAAAGCAAATATTATAATTCTGTACTTCCTAATGTCCGCTTTTGACACTTGAGAATCCTTACAGGGCTCAAAATAATTTTGGGACTAAGTCAAACAAATGTGAAATTCTTAACGAGATGTTCTTCCAATTTCAAACCGCGCATTATACTCTTAAAAATGTCCATTTTGAATCACTAGCAAATCCTGCAATCTGATTGGCTCTCTCAGCAGTGCGATGTTTAAGCACGAATCGCACCATTTGAGCTTTAAATCGCAATGTTTTGAAGAGCCAATGAAATTGCTGCACAAAACATATTAATATTTGACCAATCACATTGCAGAATAAGGAAGCCAAAAATAGAGTAAAAAAGGAAAACAATTTCTAAGGGGATTTTCTAGTTGAAAAACGGTTTTTCAAATAAATTTTACATTAAGATTAAATGTTAAGTTTAGTATGATTGCAGGAGATTTCAAAATAGATATAATTAAGTGGTCATGAACTTCCTGTCATGCGATTAACAAATTGTACTCCCGCTACGCTGTCATGAAATTTTGTAATCACTCGTTTGATTTCAAACTAATTACCCTACACTCAGTTCAATAAGCATTATTTTTCGAATTTAACAACATTGTACTTACGGTATGGAAAAGAGATTCGGATAACACACACACACCTAATAAATAGGCGATAAAGCAATAGGCTTTAGACGATAGACGAAAAGCGATAAGAGATAGGTCATTCCAAGATCCAAGAATAGCTGGAATGTACTGTGTTTCTGCTTCTTATTCTCGTTAAGAACGTGGACCTTAGTGTTGAGACTGATTTTCAATGTTCTTTGTATTCAAGGAAACCATTTCGAGCGGAATAACATATATCTCCTATCGCCTTTGGCAATGGCAACGACACCGACAACGTTTATTGAAATATATAGGCGTATGCATTTTAGACTGATTTTTTTTAGATATATAATGAATCCTTTAATGCTCTCAAGACCATTTTAGATGTTATTGGAAATGTCGTTTTTAAATCAGTAATACTCAAAGGAATGAGACAATAATCGAAGAGGTTATGCTCGCAGTGAACTTCAACCGCAGAAGTAATTTTTAATTATATAAATCATCATATATATATTGGTATTGAAATCATTGATAAGCAAAATTATCGAGCCGAGAAAGAACTTATATACTATATAGTTTGCTTCGTTCACACGGCTATAAAAAGAAGGAAAAACTGTAATACTTCAACACCTTTTCAGTCGATTTATCAGCTGGTTTTTTGTCACAATTTTTTTTTAAAGCAGTCAACAAAATAGCCTGACAGCGAGCAATTATCATAAGAGAAATGTCGCCAAACTACAAACAAAAGCCTAAACGAGCCAATGAGCACAAATTTTCCCAAAGAAATTAATTTTTCTCACGTTCTGAGTTATTTTCTTTGTTTCATTTTTGACATAAACTAAACGATTTTATTTCAAATAAGGGTTTTGTTTCTTGAAGTTTTTAAAATAAAATTGAAGACTAGTATACTCCGACGTTTCGACGCCCTACGGCGTAATTTTGAAATTCAAATTCAAATTATTGCTTTACTTTACTTTCACTCTTGAAAATGACGCCGAGGGCGTCGAAACGTCGAGTATACTAGTCTTCAATTTTATTTTACTTCAATTCATATAATTGTATTAACTGGTACTATTTATTCGTATTTAAGAAATTTTTCCTCTTTTTCCTTAAAATTTGCACAAAATATCAATCACGCGCGCTTCAAATAAGTTTCTGACGTACTTGAACATGAAAAGAAATTTTACATACCATAACTTTGAAATACGAAATGTSTTAATTTTCTTATCTATTCTAATCTATTCGCCTTCTATTTTATAGTATATTAAACATGGCGTTAACGAATACGGGCGAGTTAGAACATATACAAAGGACTATAATCTTATTTATATATATAAGTTAGGAGATATTTTGATTGTCTTCGAGTTTATGTTGKGTGTGAATTGCAACGTATAAAAACTTCAGTCGGAAATATAGACTTCAATTCTACATATTACTTGAAGATTTAGTACCAAGCTGTTCATATATGTTGGGTGTTTGAAATTTAAATTGAAAATATGATTGAAAGCCTGGAAACCTGATACAGATCGTATGTACTTCGGATTGACTGCATAACTAAGGAAAACAACACCAGCTAAAGATAAAGGTTATTAACTATGGAACTGAAGACTCCAAGAAAATTTATATATTCAACTAAATTAAGGTCGAATTAATCTTTCTTTTCTTTCTTTCTTTGTTTGCTTTTACTCCGACGTCTTTCTCTATTTTTTATTTTATTTACGGGGCGAATTAAGCCTAATGTTTAAGTATCATACACAGATAAAAATATAAGCTAGGAAGGAAGGAAAAACCTAATCATTTGTTGGACTTTAAGTTAGGAAATCTCGGTCAAATATCGAATAAGAGTTTTTTTCTAAATATTTTCAATCTTCTTTTAGCGGGTCATGATAATGTCTAATGCGTTTTTTTAGCTGATTTTAAAGTCGATACAGTTTAAAATAAATATCTAATTAAGATAACAACAATGCCGGATGATAATAATTATAAATAATTATAATAGAATATTAAGTTTTTTGTCATTTCATTTATTACAATTGAAATTAATTTAAGTTAAATTGGTGGCTTTCTTTGGTGAAAGTAAATAAAAAAGAAAATAAAGTTATAAAGCCTTTTTTTTATTATTAGGTTACCTTCAAACAGATGTACATGTATTCGGCTGATTTTGCAAGGCTTTCGGGGTTCAGTAAGCAGATTATATGTCAACGACGGTCGYGACTTGTAGACCAATAAACAAAATAAAAAGGTATTTCTAAACCAAAGTTGAATGAAGTTAGACCTCTGTGATCTTATTTTGAAAAATTTCGATGTTTTTGTGTAAAGAGAAGAGGTGTTTTGAAGCTCACTTCAGCAGCTGGTCAAGCAAAGGTGCGCGATCACGTGACATCGTTTCAGGACAACAAACAGATGGTGATTGTTGTCCCACCAATGGGCTCTTAGAGCTCTTCTCTTTGAAACTCACGGTACGATGCCGACTATATCTTTTCTCATTCTTATAATTGGATAAGCTGCATTTTCAGYAGCTGTGATTGGTTTAAAAGATATGACGTCATCGTAATTAACTCTTTTTGTTTCATTCTTCTTTTCGAAATGTTCTGTCTTTACGGTTTCGGTTGCAAATTTTTTATATTTTAGCCCATGTGTCATCCTTAATTTTCTTTTTCTTTCTAGATCATTTGATAAGGCCGAAATTTGAATCCTAACTGCTTCTTTTGAAAAATTTACCGAAAAAATCACAGGTAGCCCAAACAAGGCTTATGGTTCATAAGAGAAGGAATGTATATGGGAGCTAGAGTAAGGACATAAAATTTGCAATCGTTGTTCGCAATCCTACGTATGCCTTTTCCAATCTCCTGGTGAAGTTTCAGTGGATTTTGAGGCCGTTTCGGTAGTAGGAATGTCATTCCCTAGAACATTTTAGTTGCGAATACGCTGGTAACAAATGCGCGGCGCACGTGTGAAAAAAGGGCGGGAAAACAGCACTAGAACTAATACTGAATATCCGATGAGCTTTTCCTTCCGTGTTATATTCCATTCGACAAATTTATCCCCACGAAGTCTTATCTATTCTTAGGAAAAAAAGGAATTTCAAAACGTTTGCGAAGTGTTCGTAAATTATCAATGGTTGTCCGTAGATTTCCGAGCATGCGTAGTTCACAGATCCGAAACTCTAGGGTGAATGAAATCGCGTGATTTTAAAACAAGATTTAAAAATTGCCAATAAAAACAATGGAAATATTTCTAGAAAAGTTTATTAAAATACATAAAAGGAAGGAGTAAGATTTATCGTCAGTGAAAAGACAAGGTAAAAAATATTTTACACCTAGAATGTTCTTTTTAGCAAAGTAAACGAACGACATTTAATWTTTTTTTTGAAATTCTAGCTTCGGCAACTTCAGTGATGAAAGGAAAATAAGCTACCCGTGGTTTTTGTTCCAATCCCACGCGCTTCCCGATTATTAAGCCTAAAAATTTAGGCAAATGAATAATGGTACTGAGTTTATCATAATTATAGGCAATTTGAAAGTCGAAATCCTAACCAATTTCTTTTTTAAACTAGAGCCCTCTTAACCAGATAAAACATTCGATAGTTTCAGCATTGAGTGGCTTCAACTTTTCAAGTTGATCAGTACCAAAATGGCGGGAAAATCGTTAATTCCTCGTTAACATAATTCAACCTTCAACGTCAAACAAACAGACCCCAACCAAGAATAGAAATACAATGCCTTGTTTTGTATAGCTACCGAAAACCTAAAAGCATTTGGTTTCATCCTTCTTTGATAAATCACGGCGCGTTATGAATATTATTGCAAAATCTTCCCACGCTGAGGAATCCAAATACGAAAGATAAAGTCCCCGCAGGCACGTTTCTCGTCGGTAATTTTTCGGCTATAACTTAGTTTTACAGCTCACAAAAACTATTTACTAAAGCTACAAAATTTATCATTATGCCTCTGTTTGTTTGAAGCTGACCGCTCCAAATTTTTCACTTTGCAAATGAGGAAAACAAATTTATATATCCGCCCCCAACACCCGCTCAAAGCTTCCGCCATAAAGCATGTTTTTTCAGAGAGAGTGATTACTATATATCCGTGAAAAACGTTGTAAAACATTGCACAAATTATTCAAGTTCAGTAGACCTCAGTAGACCGTAGACCTACAAATTTTCACTCATTTCTGTGTACAATTTTCTTAGTTAAATTTTTCACTTATATATGCTTTGCACTCTATAGAGTGTGACATTACATAACCTATTTCCCATCATAGATGGGAAAACTGGATTCTTTTAAACTCCCATTACTTACGTCTAAAGACACCGTCTTTGAATAGAAATATCATAAACGACAGCTTGAGACTTTAATGTCAAGTTTATTTCTTACAAAAATCCAAAACCTTAACTCAAACTTTCTTAAGAAGCAAACTTCTATTAGCCTGATAAAATGGAACTATTTCTATTCATCTTTTTCTTCCGATGTCGATGTCGTATCGTTGTTTTCGGTAGTTGACTCCATTTGTACAGGATTCGACTCAGAAATACTAATTTTTTCTCCGCTTTCTTCAACTTCTGCACTTCCAGAAGGCTCAACTTTGTCTTCGTTTTCTTTCGGCATTTGCGGTACAGGATTCGACTCAGAAATACTAATTTTTTCTCCGCTTTCTTCAACTTCTGTACTTCCAGAAGGCTCAACTTTGTCTTCGTCTTCTTCCGGCATTTGCGGTACAGGATTTGACTCAGAAATACTAATTTTTTCTCCACTTTCTTCAACTTCTGTACTTCCAGAAGCCTCAATGTTATCTTCTTGTTGTTTCGTTTCGTCACTGTTTGCAACAGAATCCCTAGACTCAGCATTTGTTGTTTCTGATACTTCTGATTCTTTCATTCTTGTGGTTTCTTCGTCATTTGTTGTTACTTTTGGCGTCGGTATTTCCAAAACTTCAGGCGACTCTGATTCTTTTGTCGTCGTTTGCTTTGGTTCTGGTTTACTTTCACTCAAAATTTTACAAGTAGGTGGTTTTGAAGAATCGGAAGTATTTTGTGAGAGGCTAGAAGGTGCTTCCTCCTGGTGAAAATATAGCACAAGGTTTATAGTCAAACTAAGATGTTGGATGAAAGAAAACTGATAGAAACCCTCATTTTTAACACAATGAAAAGGTTTATTGAAATTTAAGCAAAACTACTCCAATTCCCATTGAAAAAAAAAAAAAAAAAATCAAAAATCAAACAAAGACGCTAATGACGAACGACAAAAACAAAACAAAAATATTATAGATAAAACAAAGAAAGAAACAAAAGCAAAAATTGCTTACAGCAGTGAGGAAACTCGATCCATGAACGCATGAGTTTTTTCGTCACTTTTTTTTACTGTCGTTCTACGATTACCGTGAACACTCGAGTTTATTTTATTTCATTTCTTAATTGTGTAAATATATATTTATTTT